AGTAGGACAATAATAGTGGCCAATCATAGAGCTCTATATGGAGGCCAATACCGCGTGGCATGTATATATCTGTATACTCTATCGTCTCCTCCCCCAACCAAACTAGATGCATAGGATTCACAATAATGCATTTATATGCAATATCAAATGAATTCCGGGATAATATCTCATAGTCCTAATCATTGATTTCTAATGACATAAACAATCTCAATTCTTTTCAAAATAGTATCCTACAAGATAGATCATATAAAACATAATATACATATACGAAACTTGGTTATAAAATTACTCACCAACATCATACCAATACATGTAACAAATAGAAATTTAGTTACTTAGACTCCTAACTAACAGTCAATTACAAACGAGGCCAGTACTCGAAAATGCCATAGTAGTATTTTATATCTAATAACGTGTAACTCGGAGGTCTAATTGACGATCCAACTATTGAAATTGATGAGTATGAAGTCCAGAACCCGCTGACCAAATTACAGCCCAATCCAACGGTTCACGAACTCATAAACAACACTTTACTGAGACTATCTCAGTTTTGTGCGAAAATTATTTAATTCATCTTTAACCCTCCCCTACTACCACCTATATATAGGCTCTTAGAACTCCCTTTTCCTATCATTTAGTTGATGTGGGACTTCTCAATATTGCTATTTTATTCATCTTCCCATCATTTAATCAATGTGGGACTTATTAACATTGCTATTTTATTTATTTTCTTATATATATACACACATACACAAGATCAGAATTATTTTAATTTCTTATATATATATTGAACCTTTTTTTTATCATAATAAATATCTATTTAAACTTGAGAGATAACAAAATCAGGATGTTACAAGGTGGTATAAGGAGAAGCACACAAATAATGGTGTATTGAGACATCCAACTAACTCTCTTGCTTGGAAACACTTTGACCAATAATACCTTAGCTTTTCTATGAATTTCAACGTTTTAGGAAAATAAGTGCCAAATTATAACATTTGGCCTGTAGTTTTGGTACCATATAATTTGCCATCATGGCTTTACATGAAATGTTCATACTTTATGATGAAACTTCTTATTCTTGGTCCAAAGTATCCAGGTAATGAAATAAATGTTTACTTATAACAAATAATTGAGGAGCTGAAACAATTGTAAGTAGGGGTACAAACATATGATGCATTTTCTCAATCAAATTTTATCATGTATGCAGCAATATTGTGGACAATAAATGACTTTCCTACGTATGAAAATCTTTCAAGATGGTCAACTAAAGGCAAGTTGCATGCACTTGTTGCGTTGCATGCACTTGTTGCCACAAAGACACACATTACATTTCATTAAGGAGCAAGCAATCTTACATGAGTTATAGGCGCTTTCTTCCACAAAATCACCCATGGCGCAAAGATGCAAAATCATTTGATGGGAAAGAAGAACCTAGGGCTCTACCAATTCCATTAATTTGAGATGAAGCACTTATATAATTAGAACAATTGGGTAATGTGTCATTTGGAAAAGAGCAGAAATAAAAGAGCCCTACAGATGGTAAGGCTTATAATTAGAGGAAAAGAAGTATTTTTTTTTCCAATTGCTTTATTGGAAAAATTTATTGATACGACATAATCTTGATGTGATGCATGTAGAAAGAAATGTTTCTAATAATTTTGTATCGATGGTGATGAATTTAGTTGGAAAGACAAACGACACATTAAAAAGCAGGAATGATTTGATAGATTTGGACATTAGGAGTAATTAGCACCCGATTAAGAATAGTAATGATGTTTATAAGCCTCCTACTCCTTATACATTATCCCCTAAAAAGAAAAAATCCCTTTGCAAATTCTTGGCTAACTTAAAAGTACCTAATACTTTTACATCTAATATCTCAAGGTGTATCAACATTTATGTGCGAAAAATATTTTGTTTGAAGTGTCATGATCACCATGTGCTATTGCAGAAAATATTTCCAATTGCAATATGTGGGTTATTACCTCCTTGAGTAAGTGAACCAATAATACAATTGGGAAATTTTTTTAAAAATCTTTGTTCAAAGTGTTTAACATGTGAAGAACTTGACAAATTATAAAGTCAAATAGAAATAATTTTGTGCAAGTTAAAGACTATATTCCCACTTGCATTTTTTGACATAATGGTTCACTAGCCTATACACTTAATAGGAGAAGCAAAAGTTGGTGGGGCCAATTCAATATCATTGGATATATCCCATAGAAAGGTAATTTGCTTTAACAAGGCCACTTTAGAATTATATTTACAATCTATCATTTAAAACTATTCAATAAGGCTCAACTTTTTTTATTGTAGGTATTTGCAAAATCTTAAGTCATATGTCGACAATAAGGCTCGACTCGAATGATCAATTGCAGAAGGATATTTGGTAAATGAAAGTCTAACTTTTTGTTCATGATACTTGAAAGACATTCCTACTAAATTTAATGTGCAATATCAAAATAATGACATCAATGATAATAACATCAGTAATAAGCTTTTAGTTTTCAAGAAAAGTGGTGAAGCTAAAGGACATTTTGATTCAATTTACTTTTACAGATGACATGAGAAGAGCAGTAGTACCCAGAGCAAGAGAGCTAGCTAATTATTGTGGTTATGTTGTTAAAACCACAATATCTTTGAAGGATTGTGCTGAGTAGAAGAATGTTTACACATTATATTGATTTCATGATTTTAAAAGTAAAGGTACAATTTATGTTTAGTAAATATATATATCTTAGTTTGATTATGCTTTCAAAACAAGTACTTATGCTAATTTTGACGTTTATTTTAGGAAAACTTTCAACCTGTTATTGTAACAAATGAAAAAAAAGTCCAAAAAATGATAGTGACTACATTGCAAAATGCTTTCAAAAATTGGAAGACCAACTTGCATAGCCACTATAAGAAATTTGACACTAATGAAGAAAGGTTGGCAAATCCACCTCAAACTGTAAGTTTTGAAGATTGGGAGTGGTTATTGAGATATTTTTAGTCACATCTATTTAAGGTATCTTACTAAATTCTAACTATTTAAATGGATAATAATTTCATTCAATAAACTTAGTAGTTACTCAAATTTGATGTAGAATAAAAGTGCTAGAAACACACAAAACTAAGGAAAACGATAAAGCATACATGTAGTCCCTAATCATTTGCAAAGGTTGACTTCTCTGTAATAAGTTGCCTCTTCACTTCACTTTGTTTTTCTGATCAAGTTTTTCATCTTTCAATATTTGTTATTTTTGTATATTATGTTTTATAGAGAGACCCCACCAGTGGACAGCCTAGCCCCCATATTAGGTTTGGAAGATAACATATACTAGGAAAACCACAGATGGCTAGTTAGAGTGGGCAGATCCGCAATCTGAAGAGATTCATGTATGCATTATATTTATCTTTTATGTTTTAATTAAATATTTTTTTGTTTCATTAATTTAATTTGTAATTTGCAACCATAGGATAGTATATATGAACTCGTTTAGCAACAATGCTTAACGAGTGATGCTCAAATAACCTCTGATGAGATATTGATGGCTATTCTTGGTGAGAGGTCAGGATATGTTAGAGGAAAAGGTTATGGAGCAGAGCCTCGAACGAAGAGAGCTCACTCTCAATCTAATGATTCATTTGAGAATGTGCACACCCAATTGTATGAAGAGTTTGAACGAAGATTTGAGGATGAGCGAGAAAAGATGAAAGTAAATCTTGCTACAGAGTGAGAGAAGATGGAAGCAGAATGTGCAGCAGAGTGAGAAAAAATGGAAACAGAATGTGCAGCAGAGCGAGAAAAAATGTCAGTAAAATGTGCACACAACTTAAACAATGGATGGAACAATTAGTAGAGCAGAAAGTACAAGCTCAGTTTACTGCTTTCATGCAAAAGATACAATTAAATGCTCATGTGGATACTCCTACTTTTGGCTTCCCTAGTATTAATCCCTTCTACATAATTTTCCTTTTGCATTACATAATGTATCTATTAATTGAACAATTTTTTATTTTTGTCAAAGACATAGAAACACTTTGATGGCTATAAATATTATTATTTAATATATTATATTTTTTAATTAATTACTTTATTTTTATTAAACCTTATGATGATATTTATCAAGAATATAAATAAAAAATTTGAACAATTAACATATTATAAAAATAATTAAACTTTCAGTGGTGACATGGTAATTGGCGGCGACATAAAAATATAATCGGCGGTGACTTAAGTGTCACTGTTGAAACCTCCATCAGCGATGACAATCCGTCAATTGTCACCATTGATTCTTATGTTTCAATGGCGACATTTGCTGGTAGCAAACTCATTACCTTTTAGCGGCAACATTATGTCGCCACTAAAAGGTCAGTGGGGAACTTTAGTTGCCGCTGAAAATAAACTTTTAGCAGCAACTTACAAAGTCACTGCTAATAAGCTTCAACCATGGCCGCTAGGGCAATGACCGAGCGGCGACAAAATGTTACCGCTTAAACTTTTCAATGTCACCGCTGAAAGTCAAATTTTTTGTAGTGAGTAGAAGAAATTAAATGTGGTTCGTATGGTTTAATTGGCATTGTTCTTTATTTTTCTCCTTTATTTTCAATATTATCTTCCTCTCCTTGTTTTTTCATTGTTGTTCCTTTTGCGAGTGTGGGACGATAGAAGGGCAAGCAAAAGAAACTTTTCTATATTTAAAAACGTTGGTTCAAGATGGCTCAAAATGACTCAACCCTTTAATCAGTCTAAACTTGTGAAACAAGCTGGTAAAGGGAACGTGTGAAGGATGGACCGATCATATCATTCGGTCCGGTCCAGTCTGGCTTTCGAAACCTTGTCATGAGCAATGCATCTTATTGCCGGTTCTATGCAATTTACACATAACTAATTATTCAAATTATTTCTAAGATCTCGAAGAATAAAAACAGAAAGAAAGGAAAATAAACCACAATGCAGGATCAACGTTTTGCTAGACTTGAAGAGAATTGTTTAATGTGAATCACAATCCTTAGTTGCGCTTGATGATAAGTAACTCTCCCAACTCCTTGTATCTTGGGTCTGTAAGGATGCTGGCTTCTGACGCCAATCTCTTCTCAAGCTGTACAAACATGTCATCCACAATCTCGTGCTCAAAGTGTTCCTTGAAAACTCCTTCCAACGCAGCTCTAAAATGCATGCTTGAACTATGAGCATCTCTTTGGTACTCACTGTTCATCAGACGAAATAAGAATTCTGACTTCACAATTTTGAAATTCCCATTCTTCTTAATCGATTCCTTTGCCTCTTCTGATGTGGGAACGTAGATAGGTATGTTGAATGAATCCACCAATTCTTCGCTTAGTAATCCCTTGATTCATATGCAAATGAAGTTACTTGAAGGAACAGCTTATCAATAATTATTTCAACAGCTAAATAATCAATAATGAAGATTAAAAGATAAACAATCATTTCTATGCCAAAGATCAAATCATTTGTTCAAAAATTTAGCAGCTTTTTTGGTGCCTTCTTGGTTAACACAATCATTAGTAATCTAGAGAGATTTAATATAGGGAGAGTAACTGTTTATTATTTACCTTATTGGCCATCTCCACAAGAACATTGCCCATGATATTTATAGAAGTTTGGAATGCGTTCAAGGCATTTGGTGGGACACAGCAAATGATAAGAATCATGATGCCCCCAGGAACAAGCTCCAAGACTCTTGAATTCAAGAAGCTCTCAAGGTCTCTTTCAAATTGTGCAGAATATGCTTCTGCAACTTCCTTGTCCTCACTTGTAAAGTAAATTTTTCCTTTATTATACATATGAGAGTTCTTGTCAACTATTTCTTTAGGTACTTTTGACAGCCAATGAAGAGTATAAGATGAGTTGAACACATGAATGCTTGATTCTGGAAACAATCTGCCATGAAATGAACCAGGCATAGCTGCTGCAAAATACTGCTTGTCCTCAGGAAGGGACTTGAAAAGTGTATTAAAATCATTACCAACATGATCATTGAAAAACACTTGAAATTCAACCGAATCTGTAGTATATTCTTCTTGGGATTGATATTTAAGGTTCACAGGTTCTATAATGTTTTGAACAGTGAAAAATGTGTTGGGTCCAACTGAACACCCCAAATCTGCTATGCGAAAAGTATGAGAGGAATTCTGCAAATGTGTTTCCAGATTGAGCTTCTCAAGAATTGTCTCTTTGATAATGTTTTTGGCACTATCTGTTCCTCTACGCTGCCAAATAAGATCAAACTTAATTAGCTTTGTACGATTAGAATATATATAAACAAACATATTGTTCTGGCAAACACAATATTAAAATTTGAAGTGTTTCATCAAGTGGTGATCAGGGACTCTATCTTTCGAGCTGCTCGATAAAGAAACTCAGTCTGAATAAAATTTTAAGAAGAAGAACCTGATTGGTGGAATTCTGAGCATAACTATGCTGGCCATCTCCTCCGTTCATAGGGAATGCCTGATAAGATTCGGAGCCTTTTTGGCTTCCCATAGTTTTTGTGATAATTTAGTGGTTGTTTGTGTCAAACGTTCCTATATGATGATAACGCACACACATGCACACACACACACACACATATATATATATAAAATTTGTGCAAGGATTGATTTTTGACTGGCAGTGCATAAAAGCGAAGCTACCAAGAAAAGAAAATAAGTCTAGGAGCCGCCATTGTTGATGAATCACATAATAGAATACAAAGATGACTAGATGTCTTGATTGATACGTTAGACACAATAAAATATGAAAAATTGCTGAAAAGTTTCCCGTTAAGAAATTTATTAGTAGTACCTAAAGACTCTTGTTTTTTTTACGATTAAGTGCAAATCTTATTCGATTGCGTGTCATATATCTTTAACTATATGAAAATGTCTTCTATTTTGTACAAAGTAGATAATATGTTGTATATAGCTAAAAAAAAAAATCGTTCCTAGAAAATAAATTACACCTAGATTGTTAAACAAACTTTAGTTACCTTTGAATAATAATAAATTTTGCAAACTATTAATAAAATAATAAATGTTGCAACGGGAAGATTTTCCACCAATTTCTCCTATAAAATATATAGCAATATACATTACACGCTATCATAAGTTAGGAGTAGCATGATTCAATTAAATAGCTGTGCAAATGTGCAATATATTTTTTTTTTTGGCTAATGCCATATATGAGCTCATATCAAAATATAATTTCAATAAAATATGATTTTTAAAAATATTTTAGTGTTATAAAACTGAAAAAAGAGTAGAGACGAATAGTAGAGAATTAAGGAGAAGAGACGATAGGTATATTTATTGAACACATAATACATGCCCTCTATTTATAAGTATAACTTTACATAATAATGAGATAATTGTAGATTATGGAGATAAGATATTGAAGATAATGAGAGAGGTATAGACATCCATATAGATATTATTATATTTATAACCATTAATTATTATTTTGCCAAACGTTATAATAGATGTAGTAGTAATAGTAATAATAATATAACATCCAATAAAAATCTCGAAGTCAAGTTTTATGCCTGCCGTGATGCCGTGGAATCATAGATCACGTCGCAGAGTCTTTGATGATTTTGCACATGTTTTGACCCTTTAGAATTTTGACCATGCTGGGTGTAATTCATTCAAAATTTTACCCAAAAAATTATGACTTTTCAGGTGAATATTTGTCCGCAACAATATTCTCTACTTATTTTGATCATTTAGAAATATTTTTTAATTTAATTTCACATTTTTTTCCTACAACAAATGGATGATCAAGGAGATAATGGGTCCGTTTAGATTGATGGTAAAACAAGTAATTTATTTTTAATATGACTTTTAGAAAAGTGAGATTGAGTAATATGATTTATGTTTAAATTGACTTTTATAAAGTAGAAAAATTGTTCGGATTATGATTGGATAAGTTAGTTTGTATGATAATCAAAATGGGATGACTTTTATTAAGTAATAAAAAAATAATAAAAATGAATTTACAAAATATAATAATTTTAAATTATTATAATATGAAGGAGTTATATTTAATGAATAAAATATATTTAAATTAGAAACCATAGTAATGCCAAAATTTTAACAAAATAATATTACATAATTAATTGGATGATATACTTCGTACAATTTATGTAAATATAAAATAAAAAATAATATTAAAAATAATATAAAAATTTTGTTAAAAATGATTTTTTATTTAAAAGAGCATTAAAAATAAATAACCAAAAATTGGTTGGGAAGCACATTGAACACATAGAGAAAAGTACAAGAAGAATATAAACATAGGGATAAAAATGTCTTTTCATTTTGAAAAGTAGCTTTTTCATATGCAAGATAAAGCATAAGCTATTAAAATTAGCTTGTGACTTAAAGTGAATTTTTTAGGCAAAATGACTTGTACCCAAATGTGAGGCCAAATATAATAAAGGAAAAACTGTACACATGTTCCATAGAAGACAATTAATTTTGAAAAAATTCCTGAAAATCCCCAAATGCTTCCTAAGTCCCCGGGAACCTCAAAGCAAAAAATTAGAATCGTAAAATTACCTACTTACCCTCACTGATTGAAAAAGGAAAGAACAGAGGGAGAGAAGCTGATTGGGTTTATTTTGTACGCTTGTTTTTTATGCATGCACGAGGAAGAGAAGCTTCTGAAAGAAGAAACGGAGGTCTGTGCTGGTGCTCTATTATTGCAGACAAGCTATTTTTTTTCCCTCTTCTTTGTAGGCTCATTATTAATAACATTTCTCTTCTTTCATACACAACCAATTTGAAGTTTAATGTTAGTTTGAAAAATTGATTGGGTGTGGGTGTGTGGGTATTAAGAATATGACTCAACTCACTTGAACTATCAAGGGAGGCTCATTTTACTCATATGTGGTTTTAATCATCCTAGGTGTGGTTTTGTTATGTGTGGCTAGGGTTATAAAGCAATGCTCTGTTTTTCGGTGAATGATGCTCTGTTTTTTGGTCATTGATGATGTGTTGCTGATGAAAATGAATGGAAAGTAATAGATTTTTATTATTGTAGCCCCCTGTAATGCGATGTTAAATGTCTTGTTAATGGGTGCATCGAAGGTTGTTAATATAACTGTATGACTTGTTATTAACGAGTGATTGTGACAGGTTGATATGAAGGATGACAACTTCAAGTGAAAAGCTTTTTTTTGTTACCTCCATATATGAGGACAATTTATTAATGGTGTAGAAGGTGAAACACAGTATGTTGGAAGTTGTGTGAGAACAAGAATGATAAAGTAAGGGACATCATATGAAGAATTTAGAACAATAGTAGCATTAATTGTGGGAAAAGAAAGTAATAGAATGGTTATAAAATTCTTAGTAACCTTTGATGAGTGTATATTTGTGGACCTTGTAGATAATGAAGGAGTGGAACATTTGATTAACTTCAATAGTGACAATGGTCATGTATATATAAGAGAAAATGGAAATCAAAATTCACAACTAACAAAGGATGTTCCAATAGAAGAGCAATATGTGTAAGTTGTATTATTTAAATTTTGAAGTAATGTTGGCTATTGTCAATTGTTGTGCATAAGTTGTTATTACAATGATCAAATGTTGTCATTAACAACCCCATGACCTATCCTGTTATGTAGGATAGAAGACTTGTTCGGAGGTTCAGATGCATTGTCCATGTCTCCACCTAATGTGGTTAATGAAGACCCACTATCATTGCCATGGGATTCAAAAATGATGCCTAACCCAATTCTAAAAATGAATTCAATCAAGTGGTAGAGAAAGAGCATTGAGGTAAATACATGGTCGTGCACAGGATTTATACACGGTGATTCCCTAGATTTGTGAAAGGCTTATTGAAACTAATTCAAACGCAATTGCTCGATGGGAAGGGTTGCATAGTAACAAATTTGAGAGGGTGTTCATTACTTATGGATGCTCAATTAATAGATTTTTAGAAGGGTGTTGAAATATACTTTATATAGACGAATATCATCTAAGTGGTCCTTATAAGGGGACATTGATTTCAACTAATGTATATGATGCAGACAATAAACTGTTTCCATTAGTATATGCTATAGTCAGTGGGAAGACATATGATGATTGGACTTGGTTTCTCCAAAATGTCAAAGACATCATAAGATTAGTAGAGACAACAATAGTTTTAGATTGGAATAATGCCATTATAGGTGTTGTACGGAGAGTATTTGGTGGCGAGAGACATGCTTTTTGCTACAAGTATGTCAAAGAAAATTTTAGTGCATATTATTTAAAAATTAACCAAGACAGGAGACAAGTTTCAAGTACTTCAAAGGAGGTCACATTGAAAATGCTGGATGGAATCGCCTATACAAGGATTAAGGATGAATATATTGCTGTAATGGGGAAACTTAGATCATTTTGTCCACAATTAGCTGATGGGGTTGAGACTCAAAGAGATTTAGATCAATGGGCTTTAAGCAAATTTTTGTTTAAACGATAGGATAACATCACCATTAATGTTACGGAGTTGTTTAATACCTGGATTTTGACGGAGAGGAAGCATAGTGTGTCAGTTCTCATACATGAGCATATGGAGAAATTATCCAAGAAGATAGTTGCAAGCAAAATAGCAATGGGAAATTGGACAAATGGTGTTGGGCCAAATATTGAGTCCAAATTGCAAGAAAAAGTAACAAGAGTGGAGAATATGCATATTGTATGTTATGGAGATAACCAAGTTCAAGTTCATACTAATTCTCCTATTAGAATAATTTATGTCACTATTGATCTCAGGACACACAAATGCACTTGTTTAGCATGGCAAATGAGCGGAGTACCTTGTGTTCATGCATATGCAGCGATAAAGATACTTTATGGTAGTGTCTATGAATTTGTAGATCATTGCTATAAATTGTCAGTCTAAGAGAAGATATATGCAAGTAGTATGAGGCCAATTGCGACACATGATTGTCCATGTCCTGAAGCTCTCACTGTTATGCAGATAATGATAGGAACATTTTTATAACCACGAATCACTAAAAGACCTTTAGGGAAGCTAAAGAAAAGAAGGATTGAATCTTAATTTTAAAGCAAAACACTTTACCACTATGGAAGATGCCATGAGCCACACTACACTGTAAAGATTTGCCAGAACCCCAATCCAAGTTGAGCTTTGCTGGTGGCATGTTTATACTTCTTTTTGTGAATACTGGTAACAATATTTTTTTTTTGTAAATGTCATAACCTACACCTCAAGTTGTCCATCATTATCCACACATGCAACCCGTAAGCTTTTTTGAATGGGTTGTAAATTTGGTGTAGTTACATTGTACATATATATCAAGTGGTAAATGACATCTGGTTGTAATCTGATATAACATCATATCTGTATTTTGATGTACTTATCAATAGGTTGTAATGGACTTATTATCAGATGCCATGGATGTTTTCATTGGCAGTCTGAATTATGTTACTGATATAAAGTGACAATTTCTCCTACTTGCAGTGTTCAATGATTCTTAGCACATCTGAGTT